CCTCTTAATTACCCAGTACTTTCCGGGCTGTAATCTAAAGCATTACCGTAATATGTTAATAGGGTATATATCTGTACTTTTACTCAAGTAGGCTACTTGATTTGTGACATTTGTCCACCACTGTCTTTTATAGCTCAGGAAACTTCTCATTTATGTTTCAATATCAACTTTATTTTTTAAGTAAAGTGGCATTAAGGCACTGTTGAATTCTCTACTGAAATTTTAAATAAGAGATATGTTTTCTACAGGAGAAAAATCAGAGACTACAGTCTTTGGGCCAGATTTACTAAACAGGGCAGATTAGCGTAAGAGCGCAATTCTATAAAAGCGAGTGGAAAGTTCAGCGTGACAAGTTCATACTGACGACAAGCAAATTAAAGAACACAGACGCAACCGGATCATTTAATGACCAACGCAATCTAACAAGAGCAGCGCAAATTAGTGTCTCGTTTAACCCTCCGGGGTACTTCATTTTAGACTCACACTCAGGACCTTCGGGTCAAAAATGACCCGGAGGGCGGCATTAAGATACATTTTATTTGAGTAAAATCAATATAGTAATACAGCAGCCGCACACTCAAAACACTGTGCAAGATCAATAAGTGCATTGAGTAAAATCAATTAAATATATTTTTGTTCAATAATATCTTTTCTTTTCTTTTTTGGTGTTTTGAGATAATTTTATGATTTATAATTAATATTTATGCAATAATTAAGACCCATTTTTTCCCATTGAATATAATAGAACATTTATATATATATATATAATTAAAAAAAAAATTGTATTAAAGCTGTATTTCATTTTAGAGTTAAGTCTAGGCCTCATGAAAGCAATTTTTGAAACGAGATCGGAGCCATCTGGTGGACACACTGAGCATTTTTCTCACGCAATAGCACATTTTTACCACTAGTGGATTTACAGCTCTCTGTAGAAACCTATGGTAGAAACACTCGTGATTTTTTTCACATATTGTTTAATTTTTTTCAGGTTGTTGATTTGAATATATAATAACAGATTCTCAAAGACTATTTTTGTCATTTTTGTAAATGTAAAAAAAAAAATTTTTTTGGTTGGTTTAAATGGTAATTTGAAGTGGCAGTTTTACTTTATAATACAGTCAAACCTGAACATTGCATTATAAAGAGAACAAATGGAAAACATTTTGTCACCCATTGTTTTAAGAGATTCACCCCTTCACTGTTGTGTGCTTCTTTTCTGCATCCTGGCTGTTTTGTAGATTGTATGCACAAAAAAACTCTGTATTTTCACATTTTTGCCAATTTCCCATTCATTTCCTATGGGGGTCATTTTTGACCCGAAGGTCCTGAGTGTGACTGTTTTTTTTATGAACACTTAGACTTTTCAAATCCTGTCCCCAATTTTTTTGGGTGTTCATATACCAAGTACCAAAACAGTCACCAAGTTTCGGACCATTCCGATGAAGCTACAATTTGTAACATTTTTTTTAAAAACGCTTCGGGACATTTTTGTTCCGAAGTACCCCAGAGGGTTAAGACATGATTTTTTTGGGGGGTGGTAAATAATGACACAAATACCAGTAAATTGATGAGAGAGAACCGTAAAGCAAAAAATAACCCTGTCCATGCCTTATTGACACTAATATTTCACTGTGTGTCTGATTAAATGTAGCTTTTTAACACCAAAAGAGGGTTTGCGCTGGCGCAAGCTGTTAGTAAATCTAGCCCCTTATTTGATCTCCATTCAGTTTCATTGCTGTCTAGAAATATTACAAATATGACATATTGCTCAAATTGTTTGGTCTTGGCAACATTTGATTTCATATTGAACGTTTTGACTGTAGTTTTAGATACCATCATGCACACTTTGAAACATTGCTATTGGAACCTCATCGTTGAGATAAATATTACTGCTGCATGTTTTTCAGAAGATAAAGCAAAGGTCTCGATTTTATCTCCAACAAATCTAATTGTTGTCTGCAAAAAGCAATTGAGATCAAATGAATAGATCTCATTAATGATTTTCCTTCCCGAAGGCATTCATCAATTCATTGAGGACTTTGGTCTACCAAGATAGAAAGAGTACTGTGAGAAACTGTCGCTAGAAATCCCCTTAGCAAAGCTACATATTTGTCTTATTTTCCAGTACAAACATCTAAACATTCGGAAATCAAGAGATAATTACTTGAGAATCAAAATATTTTCGGAAAAGTTTTTTTTTTAAGCATAAATTCATTTAATGTACATACATTTTTAAGTAACATATCTTAAGTAGCCTAATTTTCCTTCTCAAGTAAATGTATCTTATTTAAGAATGTTTAGATATTTGTACGGGAAAACAAGACAAAAATACACAGCCAGGAAGAAAATCTTTTTTTGCAGTCTAACAACGTAATTTAATTCTGCACAGATGGCTAATCAACTAAACAATCTTAAACAGAAAACCAATAAAACAGTGACTCAAAGCCAATCTTTTCTGTCTCAACCCAGTGTGTGTGTGTGCTTCTGAATCAGACTAACTGCTCAGGTATCGACTTTGCTTTCTCTTAACTCCTGGTTGTTGAGAGCATGATATTCTTTTTCTTTTGTATTTCTCTTCTTTTCGGAGTTAGCAGACTTCGACATGTCAGATGTAAAGCACGGTCTAGGTCACGAGTTTTTGAGTCCTCCTCGTGCTCATTATATCAGGTGCATGGCCTGGTCACATGGATTCATTCATTTTGTCATATTTTCCTGACACATTTGATGCTATCCCGTTGCTTTATGCTGTAACCAGGCTTGTTTCTGTCGGCGGTGTCACAAATAGCCAGCTGTGCTTCAAATGTCATCTTCTTTACACTAACTACAGGTGTTCTCTGTGCTCCAGCACTAACAATGACACTGAAGACTTTCAAATGAATACTTAATACTGCCCAACGGACATGGTTAAACTTTAATGGCCGGAGCAGCTTCCTGCCTCACTCTTTAATAAATTGTGGAGGGAAGTTTTACATTCAGGACCCCAGACATGCAAAAGTAATGAAGACAGTTTCTGAGGAAGATCTGATGGTCACCGCCATGTTGCTGGGTGGTTTCTAGAAGAATGCATACTATTCTAAGACAAAAAAGTCTCTATGATATATTTCTTCCAAGGACAACCCCAGTAATCTCACGAGTCTTTCTCAACAAAGTCTCAAACTGTGCTCAGATTTGCTAAAGACTATGGATTTGTCATTAATCCGGATAGGCTATACATTTGACGTTACATTTTGCCTTTCCGTCCACACTGAGATAGTGTTTTTTTCCTGTGAGAACTGAGCTTGGAGAATAAAAAATTGGGTGTGTTTTTGCTTTTTTATATTTGTATTCAATTAATGAAGATGCTGTAAATTGAATCACTAAATATTTAGTTGTTATTGTACAATATATGGTATTTTTTATGTGCAATTTACCATTAATACATCGCGTCTGGCATGTTTTCTCACTGAGGCGACCTCTCGAGTTTCCTACTCGAAACTACAACTTTGTAGTGACATTCGACATGACTTGAACGCACTAAAAGACAGAACGCCACTGCTTTTGTCAACAGTACATATGTGTATTACATGCTTAAAACTCAGAAAGCTGTCTTTTTTTCACCTGGTTCAGATGTTTAGATTAGCCTGATCAGCTGATAAGTGCCCAAAACCCCTTTAACACTAGAACAGCCACGGCGGTCATTTTGACCGTTTTGAATTTTATATCTGCAATAACTTTGTTGAAAAAATAAATAAAATCCTGCTGGTACCTGACTTTTCCTAAAAGTGTCTGTATTTTCATTTAAAATGTTTTTAATATAAATTACACATAAGGCAAAAAAAAAATGAACATATTTACCTATTTCGGCCATAGACGGTCATATTGACCGCACTGAATTTCGCGGTATTCTTTTGTTACATTTCTCGCGGTTGACCGTGTCTATTAGGAAATAATCAGAAGATTCAATTGCAAAATGACATATATGTTTATTGAGAGCTGGTCAGATGCTGGGAGAGTTAAGTTGTGTAAATGTCCGGTATGAAGCCCTTGCGGCAGCACAGGGACGCTGGAGTGAGTGCTGAACCAGGAGTGCTGAACACGGATGACACACGGAAAACGGATACAGGCAGGGAACAAGCACGCAGGAAAAATCCACAACGATCTGACAAAGACTAGGCGACAACAGTAACACTAAAAAGGGTCGAATGCTGATCAGTTGCAGCTGGCGCGTTGATCAGAGCGGGCGTGCTGATGATCAGCTGCAATGATCAGCGGCCACGCACACACGCACGCACGCACACACACACACACACACACACACACACACACACAACAAGACGAGAAAGGAGACAGCGAATTCATAAACCGTGACATTGTCTCTCTCACTGTCAAAAGAATATCTAAATAAGATACTTTTAGTTGTTATCATCTTGTTCTGAGTTATGTTGAATGGATATGGAAATAGCGCTATCTGTTGTGAATATGCGATAAGGGCTACTGATATTATTATTTATAAATGTATAATTAAACTTTTTTAAATGTACAGTTTGGTGTTGTTTTGTTTTTAAAAGATATCCTAAGACAATAAATGCATTAATCTCTCAATTGGGTATTTATCATTAAAGATATAGAGATTGCAATCTAACGGTCAAAATGACCGCTTGTGGCAGTTCTAGTAGTTATGGAATTCTGGCACTTCTAGTGTTAAAACCAGCAAACCAGATTAGCATGGCCAGTTAAAACAAGCAAACCACATTTTTAGGTTTAGATATAGTCAGCCAGCTTTTCTCTAAACCTGACCAGTTGATATCTGCCCAAAATCCCTTTAAAACCAGATCAGCTTGGACAGATAAAATGCCATTGGTGGATCTCATGTGAGTGACAGGTTGCTCCGCCCTTAACATGTCATCAGAGAACAGAAGAGATGTTGCTGCAATAGTGAGGGGAAGGTTCATGGTGATTTTATTGTGTGAAAGGACATTGACTTACATTTGTTTTTCTCCCATCTTTCCTCCATATCTCAGGGTTATTCCGGGATTGAACTCCTAGACCTGCTCCTCGAGCCCCATAAGGTCTCTCATATGGAGAGCAATGGTGACCTCCCTGCGTGGTCAATCACAGATCAAAGCGTGAGTGAAATGCCTTTTGATATTTGTGAGTTTATCTGCTCAATCACAAGACACCCATCCTACTGAGAGGAGCATACCGAGAACATTTAATTTTTTAGTTAATTTAATAAATGAGGCACCCTGAAAGTCTTCTTGTAAACACAGTGACAGCTCATGACATGTCTGACCCAGATCTCTCTGTCAACTTCTGTGTGTGTTTGTATCTGATATGGAACTGTTGTGTATTATTCTAAAACCCATAGGGAACTGTTGAGAAGATTTATTATGCTCACCATGGCTCCATTTATTTGATCAAAAATACAGTGAAAACAGTAATATTGTGTTTTCTATCGTAATATATTTTAAAATGTAATTTATTCCTGTGATCAAAGCTGAATCTTCAGCATCATTACTCCAGTCTTCAGTGTCACATGATCCTCCAGAAATCATTCTAGTATGCTGATTTGCTATTTAGGAAAGCATTGCATGCTTTAATTTCCCTTGAAACATGCTGCTACATGAGGGACATTGATGGATGTCATAGCTGGTTGGGTTCATTTGATTAAAGATGCCATTAGTACATACTAACAAGGGCGCAAAGCAATACTGGAGACAGGAAGAAAACATGCTACTGTTGAGCAATGAACAATTCAAGACAAACTAGGACTTATTAACTGATCGAAAATTTAACATTTGCTTATGACTAAGAATAAGCTTATTTAGCAAGATGACAACATGCACCTACTGTAAAATAACCACATTTTTGTTGGACAAAATTTGGCAATATTTGCATCAAAATATATATTACAAATGGCTATATTTTATATAGTACATTATAATTATTTTGTGTGTTACATATGTTGTGTAAATAAAGATGTATTTTAGTAAAACGTAATTCTACATTATTATTGGAATTGATGGTTCCATGAGAACCCTTTTACGTCCATAGAACTTTTCCATTCCACAAATGGTTCATTATAGAGGGAAAAAGGTATTTGGATTTTTTTTTAAATGTTCTTCACTCCCCCCTTTCTTCTTTAAGAACTGGGGAACCAAAAATAGTTATTGAAAACCCGCTTTATTTTTTTGTAGGAGAAATTTAACTCCAGCATGTTAAAGCAAATGTAACCCTGAGATAATGTACTTTAGAGACACAGATGACCCATCTGCAATGTGTGTGTATCATGGTTGTGCATGTGTGTTTCTGCTATGACACAGATGTGTGTATATTCTCTGTGTTTTGTGTGTGTATCCCTGCAGAGTCAGTGTCATGCTGAAGGTGTTGTTGATAGCTTCCTGGACTCCCTGCTGTCAGAGCCCTGCTCTCCTCTCTGGGTCCCTTCACCCTGTGACAGTGGCATCAGTGACGACACCCCGTCAGACCACCTGGACAGCCCCCCACCACCCCCCACCAGCCCGCTCTTCGACTCCATCTTCCTCCCTCAGCATCCTCATCTTCTTCCTCAGCCGGCCGCTCACGGCACAAACACAGAGCCGGATATCTCCATTGATCTGGGTGAGATTTCATTTTTCAAACAGCAGTCCCACCAGAATCGTTTTTTTTATTAACAACAACAATCATTATGTCAATACACATTTAAAGAGTACAGTTAGGGTGACTACACACTGCATCAGAGATGCAATAAATTAGAGATGCACCGATGTAAAAACAAGTATTTTCCATTATCTATATTATGATTATATCCTGTCAATCAACAGGGGGCTGAAAAATGTGTTCAGACTGCAACTCATAGCGTGTGCGAAGAAAATCTCTCGAGTTGAATTTAGGACAAGTTAACGCGACAATAACGCATTAACAGTTAAAAAATAGTGATGTCCGATTCATTCTTTCCAATTAACCTGTTTTATTGGTTCACAAATAACACTGCAAATATGGACCCATCTTTCTTATTAGTGCTGGTTGGAAGAAATAGATATGGTTCATTGATCAGTGGCCTACTTTTTACATTTAATACAAAATAAGTAAGTACATTTAAAAATCAAGCACTTTTGTACTTTTAAGTAAAACTTAAAATAAGTAGGCTATACTATTTGAATAGGGTATCTGTACTTTTACTCAAGTACTTCATTCGTGACATTCGTCCACCACTGTCTTTTATAGCTCAGGAAACATCAACTTTGTCTCAGATTTTTGTTTGTTTGTTTCTTTAAGTAAAGTGGCATTCAGACATTGTTGAAATCTCTACTGGAACTAAAACAACAATAACACATTAACGGTTAAAAAATAGCAACGTTAAAGCAGGCTATACATGGATTTCTTGGCAACGTCATCACTGCTTGCGCACGCAACCGGGAGGCAAAAAAGACGTGTTTCAGTAGCATGTCTGTAACGTAAACACGCGTAAGGTAACTTATATAAAAGCAAATTCTAGCTGTCCAGTAGATGCTGCACTGCTAACATTGGCTATTACATTACTAGCCGGACATGATAATTCATACATATATCACAGTAACACTGCAAAATTAAAGACAGACAAACAGATCCAACTAAAATCACGTTTTATTGAGTCTGCAGTTTTATACAAATAAATCAAACAATAAGGAGAGCTTCAATACTTAAGGTTGTTGCAGTAGCGGACCAGCTCACCAATCGGGCTTTCTGCCTCTGGTATGTATGCACACGCACCCTGTAATGTTTGTAGGAAAGCCCGTTCTCATCCCAAGGTGTCATCGATACCCCTTTTCCACCAACGCATTTTGAGAGCCGGTTCGGAGCCGGTGCCTGCGCGCGAACCAGTTCTTTGTGTTTCGACAGCCAAAGAACCGGTTCTCGGCCAGGAAAACTGGTTCCAAAGCGGCACCAACTCTTTGCTGGACTAGAACCGTTCTTTTACCACGTCATGCTTACGTCGGGGGCTGGGGGCGGATTTAGATAACATATTTTCTGACATAATATAGGATCGCAAAGCCAGGAGAAACATTTGCAGAAACACGATGTAGTCCGCCATTGTAATTGTTGTGCTTGAAGTTGGCGCAAGCGTTTCTAGTTTTTTTAATTTATTTTTTTATTGAAAACGTAATGTAAGCAAAGGAGAAAACAGTCACAATATAGAACAAATAAATGGAAAGAAAAAAAAAGACACAAGACAGGAGTACATAACTAATCAGAAAAGATTACATATCAAAGGAAAAGATTAAAATACTTACATATTTCAATTGTTTTTAAAGCCTTCTTGGTTCACGAGTTAGAGATAATCCCAAAGTAATGTTGTACTTGCAAGCGTTTCTAGCTAAGATGTATGGCGACGTACACAGTGACGTAATGACGTCGTTCGCTGGGCGCTCTAGTCAGTGGATAAACAAACAGGTTCTGAGAAGGTTCGCAAGTTGAACCAACTCCGAACCAACTTTGAACCAGCACCAGTTCCGAACCAGTTCGTTTTTGGTGGAAAAGGGGTAATACTGACGCTTTTGCCAAAGCGTCTATATCCAACGCACATGGCACCCTTTAGCGTCAATATGAGACGCAGATATATGGCGCCTCCTAGTGGTCTACCCCAGACCTAAACCTACCCATAACCGAAGCGTGTTATATTGACAATAAAGGGTGCCATGTGCGTCGGATGTAGATGCTTTGGCAAAAGCGTCACTATATGACGCCTTGGGATGAGAATGCGTTGGTATTTGACAGTATGAATTGCCTGTAGTTCAAGCCAGGTTGCCAGATCCACAGTTTTCCCCTTTGTGCTTTGTTACTTAAAGGGGTCATATAATGCCATTTTTGTACAAGCTAATATGATTCTTTAGGGTCTAAATTAAAAGTTTGTAATATACTTTAATTAAAAATTCTCATTAGTATTGTAAGAAAACACTTATTTTACCTGGTCAAAAACAGCTCTGTTTTCAGCACGCCGTTTCAGTGCATATGACTTTAAATGATCATGAGCTTTGCTGACTCCGCCCCTCTGTTCTATGCGTACACCAGAGCTCTGGCGTACACCATTTGTAACTCAATAACCATAACGCGTTGTTCAGTATAAACGTGGGATTATGAATTATATTGAGAACGTCATACTACATAGAAAACATGCCGTAATGTACCCTGAGTGTAAACCTTAGACGCATTCATTGTGAAGCGTGCAGCTAGCGATTTGCAAAGATTAATATATAAATATAAAGTTTAATAAAACGTTACACTCACTTCCGTTCTTCTGGAGATTCAGCAGAAACACGAATATCTGGTACCGATCCATTTTTCATGAGCAGCAGCTTAGCAAATCCAGCTTTATACTGATCCTCGTCTATAAAGCAGTCTGGTGAGAAATGATTCGCGCAAACATGAACGCATTGACGTTGCTCGTGGGGAATATTCTCTTCGAAAACAAACACAGCCACTGCGTCTTCAGCGGTTCGGATTTAGGAACATTAAAATGACTCCTGTGTTCGTTATTACACCCAAGAACAGAACACCACAATCGCTTAGACGCCATTCTGCTCATAGACAGTGCTCCAGCATATCAACAATGACCGCGCCGGTCCGCGCAGACTATGATTGACAGCTCTCTCATGGAGCTGATCTCACCCGCGAGGGCGGGTCTGTGTTGAGACGCTCCTGTCAATCAACAATCGTGGGAGGGGCTTCCGAGCGTGTGACGTCACACGGTCGAACGGCTCGATTTGAGGCAGGGGAAAACATATAAGGAGATTAAAACAAAACCACTGGATGGATTTTTATCATTATATGATGGTTGTGTACAGACACTGCCAACACACATTTCAGTACAATCAACTTGTAAAAGTGCATGCACCATTATATGACCCCTTTAAAAACAAGTAAACTCAAATAACCGCAAAGAGCTTTGTGCTTTGTTACTTAAAAACAAGTTAACAAGACTTGTAAACAAGTCTCAGCTTTGAAATTCTGTCCATTTGATCATTTTATGCATGAATATCAGAAGTTGAAAGATACAGTACAACTAACTGAAATGAATCGCGTCTCATATAATCGCTTAATCAGTGTTTCAACCATGGAAAGATGGGAATCATTTAATGTTGCATTTACCTCAGGAAAGTTACCAATGTTCACAGGTCGTTAGTTAGCTATTAAAAACACTAGAGAGGAGCTTATTTACTGGTAATTATATACTGTATGCTTAAATAAATTTGTCATGAAGACAAGTGTTTATGAAATCTACAGTGCAAGCGAGTTGCCTAGGCTACAAACATTTCAGATTTGATTTGAGATCAAGAAATCAACTCAACTACATATTTGTTTTTGTTAACATGATCACAGGGTTTTTATTGTTCAGTACTATTCTCTGAGTAGACCATATTGATGCTCATTTGCTGTGATACAGCAGCAGGACAGACAAACAATTGTTGATCAATTTGATTTGCCTGGGATTTATGCATCCTGATTAGCTGATATTGACCTACTACAAATGTTTGAGTGAATTACAAATAACAAATTTCTGTAAGGCTTACATAACCATCAGAACACACAACAGACTTCCAAAGCTTTCAGAGTTCAAAGCCTGAGTAAATGTAGTGAAGAATCAACCCTTAATACGGTTATAACTCTGAGCAGCTTGTGATCTTCCTGAGGAAGCAGACCATAATAACAGACACATTTTACTTACTGCTGCTAAATGTGTTTTTAAAATGTCTTTCTGTACTACAATCACATTACAAACAAGATTAACTTTTTTTTGACTTGGGCCAGTAAGCAACCACCTATCAACCACTCACAACACCCTATCAACCATCCAGAACAGCAGCAACCCCAGAAATGTGACAAGAACGGCTCAGAACACCTTAGCAACTAATAGCCATGCCCTAGCAACCACTCAGCAACACCCATAGAAACCATCTAAAACAACAGCAACCACTCAGAAATGTGCTAACAACCTCTGAGAACACCTTAGCATCAGCATAGTAATGGCCTAGGCATCATCTGGAAATGTGATAAACACTCAGAATACCTTAACAACTGCATAGCAACGCTTAGGCAGCCACTTAAATAGGGTAACGACCCCTTGGAACCCATTAGTGCCAACAACCATCATAACACCTTGGCAACTGCACCAGTGGCGCCTCCAGAAATTTTTCATAGGGGTGGCCAGATGGGGCCACTTAAAATCTTGGGGTGGCACACCAAAACTATAAACCATAATTTCAGAATTTTATTCTGTTGTAGTAAACCGGCCTGTAGGAAACTATCAGAAAGACTTAAGGAAACTCCTACTGATATACTTTGGTTTATTGTGTTATATTTAATGTTAGCTTACTAATGATATTAGTAGGGCCCTACTAATATATATTATATATAATGATATATATTATGTATATATATATATATATATAAGGGCCCTCGCCCCACGGCAAATTTCCAGATACTTACATAATTGTGATGAATTTAATCCTTTTTAAGTTATTATTTTGCAGTGTACGATTACAGTTAACACCTTTAAATATTACATAAATGTACTATGAATTTTTAATAAACTTAATGAGTGTATAAATCAGCAGCAAAAAGTAATTCTTGAAAAAATTTGCACAGTAATTTTATAAAATCTAAATATGTTAATAAAAACAAATTACTATTAGTTCTCTTATAAAATTCAATCAGGCAATCATACATTTCACAATTTTATAATTATATATTACGGTAATGTCAAGAATTCAGAAGTGCATATATAACCTACACTACAAATAAATAATATACAATTAAATTATGCTTATTTTAAATGCATTGAGCAGGCAAGGTATAACAAAATATATTGGCTTTTAATAATATTTCAGTGCTCAAACCCATGATAACATGAAAAACAGAGCGCACACAGCGTGTATGCGCATCGCGGGTGCAGAATGATGTGCTCAAAGCAACATGGTGACTCTATGTGTGCAGCGCTGCGCTGCATAAGTGCGTATTTAAAAGTTCACGTCACAAAGCGAAGAAATGTCGAGCGCACAAATCCTAGAGCGATTTGTTCCTTTGTTTCAGTTTTATATTCCAGTTATTGTGCGTTTGATGTCGATTCATAGTCCCTGTGATGTGTGTGTGATGATCTAGCAAGCACACGGTAGTGAGTCGTTTAAAAACAACAACAAACTCCAACAAAATAAAGTAATTTTATGCAAATCTACAGCCTTTTATCTACAGATCATGCATTATAATGTGAATATATCATATTGGAGAGAGTTTTACCGTGCATCCAAGAGGCGCGCGCGCTGTTTGAATATGAATGGAAAAGTGATTGACAGCCGCAGAGAAGGGAAAAGGAGTTTCCATATACTTTAATGATGTAAATAGACTTCTGTCCCTCATATTAAGCTATGGAATGACTTCAGATGACTTTGTCACCCAAACTGACGTTTAAAAAAAAGCGGGAGGCGCGCTGTTTGTATCCCTGCTTGTCAAAACGTGGCAAAGACACATCAAAAAGCTGCTGTCACAGAATACTGTAACCATTTGGCACTTAAAAAGCACGTCACGACACATAATGCCCTGTCTTCTTTTACTAAAGAATAATTTTGACTTATTTATGAAATGCATAACTGATGCTACTAAATTTTATTCTGGCCATTGGGGTGGCCAGTGGTGGCCGTGGCCACCCCTGACCACCCCCTGGTGGCGCCATTGAACTGCACAGCAATGGCCTAGCAACCACCTATAAATGTGATAAACATGAGAACACCTTAGTAACAGCCTAGCAACAACCTAGTGGTAAACTCTCAGAACAACCTAACTATTTGCCAACATCCTAAAAACCACCTAAACTCTATCTACCATGCAATGTAATAACAACCTAACTCTGAGAAAAAAGAAAGGATATTTTTTGTCTGTTTGTCTTCGGACAGTGTGAAGTAAATGCATTCTGTGATGTTAAACATCTCCTGTCTGTCTGTGTGTGTGTTGTGCGTGCAGCAGATTGGGAGTCCTGTCTGTTCACTGACGGTCTGACAGACTCTCACTGCACGAGAACTCAACCAACCCCCGTTTACCAGCTCACTGTGAAAGACCTGCTGCTCTCCAACATCGGAGAACCGGTGAGTACCGACAGAACATGAACAGAACCCATGTTGTGTATGTGACTAAACAGTCCTGTTGTGACATTCAGTGTGACGCATACAGTGACATCCACATATTAGCAACCAGGAGAGGAGAGAGAGAGAGTAGAATAGAGATGTCAGATTTCATACTAGAAAACAGGACATGTGGAGGAACTTGAGAAGATATACATGACAGAGAAAGAGAGAAACACACAATAGCTCTAAAACCAAGCAAGTTACTTAGACAACATTATACGGTTGGACATAAGTCCTCCAACACCCTTGGCCCGGACGTGGCGGAGCGTCCGGAGCCAGGCCTTTATCCGTTGAATTCTTGAGAACCGGGTCTAGGCTGGGTCCCATATGTATTCTTCCACGGCTGCTCCTAAACGGAAGCCTGTGTCTTTCCCCTGGGCTAAGTCACCCAGTATTTCATATGCAGTACAACCTTCGAGTTAGTCCATATGTATATCTCCACATAACTCCTTCGGGGAAGAATGTGGGTTCCGCAGCGTTCTACTTCCTAACAGAAAGGGCACGCTTTCCCAGTGTTATCCAATAATCTCACTGTATGGGTTATCACGGAACAACAGTGACAGATACACTCTGTGTAAACCTTCTATCGTCCCTCCAGTGCAAGAAGGGGCAAGCAGCTTGTAAGGGCGCAGGATGGGGTCAGCAGCTGTGGCGCTTTGGTAGGGATTCCTATTCATCGACGTACGTCGAGAGTGACCGACTGATAGGGAACTTAAGGAGGGAATGGAGACGTACGTCCCGTCGCCACATCTGCTGTCCAGCTCATCGGTTCGGCTCCTCAGCAAAACACTGAAGTGCAATCGCCAACATGACATCATGACTTTGCGTAAACATACACGCCACTTTCAAGTCAAGTGTCGTGTTATCTATACGCATTTTGAGCTATCCGCGTGTATGTCCACGCCGAAACGAACCGTCATCTTTTGTGTGTATGTCTACGCCGTTAAACGTCCGAGTGATTCCGCGTGTATGTGTACGCCGTTAAATGTCCGAGCGAAACGAAGCAAAATTCATATCTACATCTGTGGAGCAATATTTTTTTTCCTAGGATGGTAGGGGAAGACTCATAAATAGTATTAACCCCAGTGACGGGTAGGTTTAGGGACGGGGTTGGGGTAGGTCATATATTTATATATATACAGTAATGTAACGTTAAGTCAACGGCGTTGATAAACACGCTGAAAAGCAATTATGCGTGTTGATAGCACACCAAAAATGGAAATACGAATTGGCGTGTCATACATACGCCATTTCATGAGATCAGTCTGCAATCGCACCTGCTGCTCATTATATACCCGTGCAGCGTGGCAGAGCAGCTGTTGCAAATGATTGCACGCTGCCAAATTCAGACTGCACGATTTTCAAAATAATCGGGTCACAGTTGTTTTCACACTGCATGACTATCTGGGGTAACATTCAGTTGCTGCTGTGTTCACACTGCACGATGGATCGGCGACAGGAGGTTTCACACTGCATGACTTTACAAAAGAAAGAATCGCCGACAACTTCTGCCTGGTCCGCAAACTACGTTTCACAACCAAACAAACGCGAGAAGTGATAGGAAATAACGGAAGATCACGCGTGCGTGAGACCGGAGTTCTCGCGCGACACTGAATTTGTTATTAAAAATGATAGCCTACAAATTGTCTGTGCACTGATTTGTAGCGAAAATGGAAAAAAATAATAAACAGTTTATGCAGGAAATGGTTGGGAAGACGAGGGGAGCAAGGACTGTGTTTTGCAAAGAGAGGTGGGGTAAATAAATAATTTTGCAAATGTCCTGCTGTTGCTGCTGGTCATGCAAATGTTTGTGCTTTTGTTTCTGTTTGATATAATTGTAAATATAGGCCTATCTATTAAAATACTGATATTCTGGACTATAACTCCTTCTCCTCCTCCCTGTATCTTGCTCTCTCATTGGCTGTCGGTCATCGCCGATGTAGTTTTCAGTCAGAACACATTCACACAGCAGGATTGTGAATCGTCGACAGGTCCAGATATTTAGCATGCCAAATATCTCACGGTCGTCGGCGATTCTCTCAGATCGCGTCTTTGCTCATTCACACTGCGTGATTGACACTCGCGTGAACGAGCACCGATTTGCCTGTGATTTCGGGCATTTGTCGGCGATATCTCAAAACCTGTCGGCGAGCCAAAATCGGGGCTAAAATCGTGCAGTCTGAACTCGGCATAACGCCAATGTGCAGGGGCGTAGAATTTAGTAGGGACGCTAGGGACGTGTCCCTACCAATATCCAGTGACACTGATATATCCCAGCAATAATTTCGATCAAAACTTAAAATATATTTATATATTGTTGTCCCCGTCCCCACCAATTTCAAAATCAAACCTATGCCACTGCCAATGTGCATTGGCTCGTTTAGTTTCACTCAAAGCAGATTGGCCTCTCTAGCGAGATTCCTATTCGTTGGTCACGACGTACGCCTCCGTTCCCTCCTTCAGGGAACAGGGTTACCATATGTAACCGAGAAGTTTTTCCCCCCAAAGACTGCTTCTTCGCCTGTGTTTTGATTAGGAGATTCTGTACTCTTTCAGCAGATGCGTAATAGCTCCCCCTACCGTATAACAGTGAAAACACGGAAAGCCGGAAAATTCCTTCAATGGGCCAATTTCACAAGAATCAGAAATTACGTCACGCTGTGTAAAGTTAGTTCCGCTACGGGTTTGCGGCTATCACATAATATGCCCTTTGCTCAAATACTGCTGCTTACCTTTTCTGTTTTGTCAGTTTTCCAAGTTGCTGCTAATCTGCAAAGAAATTAATTTGGAGCTTATACGGCCACTCAGACCGTGCTCAAATTAACCGGCGGGTGATTTTAATTCACTGGCTGTCGTGTCACAGAAATATGTACTTATTTATATAAAAAATTCAGTACGTACACAGGTATACATTCACACGTGTACTGTATATACATATATATATATTAGGGGTGGGGTGTAACGGTACACAAAAATCACGGTTCGGTACGTACCTCGGTTTTAAAGTCACGGTTCGGAACGTTTTCTATACAGCAAAAAGTAAGAAATGCCTTTTTTTTTTTAAATAAGTGTGAGTTTTCCTACATCTTGAAACTTTCAGGTTTATAAATGGGGGTCATCTTTGAAGGATGAACAAAATGTTTTGGTCATCACATTAAAAATAACATTTAAATATATAAAGAGTTCAGATGCAAAAGCCATTTGAAATTTTCTTCTAGAATGATCATTTTTATCAAGCTTGTATATTTAAGTGCAGTAATTTCACTTAAATGGCAATGAAGATTACCTATTAATTGTCATTTGAGTGAAATTACTGAACTTAAATATACAAGCTTCATAAAAATGATCATTCTAGAAGAAAATTTCAAATGGCACTTAGAGGCTTTTGCATCTGAACTCTTCAAATATTTATTTATATAATATTTGAGTTTTGAAGTGCTGGAAAAAGATGTGTGAAGTAGCCTACTTGAATGGATTTCACTATTCCAGCCAAACTGGTTACAGCTATATTAAATCCACGGTGGATGTTGCTGGTCTGTGGACGTAAAGTATTACTAGTTCATTCACGGCACAATGTTTCTCCTGGTTTCCACGTCAGCGCTGTTTGATCTAATAGAGATCTACGGTTAATAACGGAGAAATGTGAATGCTTCCCACTAGATTTCGCAGCGATGTTATTACTTCAGTGGCGAATTCAAATGTTTTCTTTACTGGATCTCTTAGCGCTGTGTTGTAACAGTGTCGCTTGATCGAGATCGGCTCGCGCTGCACAGATGCTGCTGGTCCGAACTCATAAACGATCCGTGAAGTACATTATGAGTAGCGCAGTTTCGTTCCGCTTTCATTACGCTTGCCATTTGATGTTGCGCAACGTTGTGGTGGTCGGGGCAGCGCGAATTTTGTCGGCAGGAAAAATGGTCCAAGGAATCGTTCGGTTTGTATGCGTACCGAACCGGAAGCCTCGAACCGAAACGGTTCAATACGAATACATGTAGGCTATACCGTTACACCCCTAATATATATACACACACACACCTGAAAAAGTTTACCCAGCGTGGGCCATTCCGGAAGCCAAAAACCCAGATGTGTGAAATTGGCCTTTGGCGGGGAAGCTTTGTCTCATAAATGACGGAAAATCCTGTCAATGGCAGGGAAAGAGTTAAGAGTGCATTATTTAACAATGACCCCTTAGAAAGCAGCGGCCTGTGTAGACCGTAAACAGCTTAATAGTGTGCTTTGAACAGATAAAAGCATGTTGAGGGGCAATGTGTTCAATCAAACATAGCGTAAACAGCTCGTCCTGTGGCATACAGGTAATGACTTTGACCTGTAAACATTACTGGGCAACATAAAGCACAATAGAGAGCTGTTAGTGCTTTACACAGTGCTTTACCTCCACAGATGCAGTTTCGGTGTTTGGGTTGATGTGGCATTGGGTCTGATTTTATGCATTGTGATGCATGCTGGATCAAATCAAACAGATGAACAAATGTATCTGCAGCACTTCTGTTGTCATAATGCATTGCATTGATACTTGAGACTGAAAAGGCGGGAACAGGGTTATTTTTGCAGCTGACCTCATTGCATATGCATTTGTAGGAGTTTCCCTTTCAGACGCAAAATTTATGGGAGGAGAATATTTAAATTAATCATGCAAGGTGTTTTACTAAGGTTTGCGCTTGTCAATTGTCAATTACTAAGGTTTGCGCTTGTCAGTGTTTGCGCCATTATTTACCCCCCCCCCCCCCAAAAAAGCATGTCTTAAAGGGATAGTTCACTTTGAAATTAATTTTTGATATGTTTTAGCTTACCTCAAGGGCATCCAAGATGTAGGTGTCTTTGTTTCCACAGAAGTTTCAATTTTGATATTTTTAGGTCAAACCGTTCTTGTCTGTCAGTCATATAATGCAGGTCTATGGTCTCCACCTCAAAGAGCATGCACAGAGAAGTCCAAATTAAACATGATTTAATGACTCATAAATGTAAGTACACATTGATGGCCTAAGACACGAAACGAGCGGTTTGTGTGAGAAAACGAACAGTATTTATATAGTTTTTACCTTTTGTAATGCACAGACCGAAGCGCCCGCGCCCTCAGATCACTTGGACGTGGCTGTGTTTACAAGAGGTAAAAACGATATAAATAATGTTCAATGTGCCATCATCAATGTACACTTACATTTACGAGTCATTAAATCATGTTTAATTTGGACTTCTCTGTGCATGCTCTTTGAGGTGGTGACCATAGACCTGCATTATATGACTGACAGACAAGAACGGTTTGACCTAAAAGTATCAAAATTGAAACTTCTGTGGAAACAAAGACACCTACATCTTGGATGCCCTTGAGGTAAGCTAAAACATATCAAAAATTAATTTCAAAGTGAACTATCCCTTTAAAGCAGACGCTGATTTGTGCTGATTGTCTTGGTCATTATAGAAATGATCTTGCCGTGTCTTTAATTTGCGCATTGTCAGAAGATCACGCGCAGAATTTTCCACACCCATCTGCGCTTTTTTGGAATTACGCTCTCAAGCTAATTTGCCCTGTTTAGTAAATCTGGCCCTAAGTAAAGTGTCTTTAATCATAATCAAAACATATGCAGTTCCTAAAGTTTTTGAACAAGAGGATGAAATGAAATGTGTGTTTCTGTGTCTAGACAAAACTCTCCGACCAGCAATCCCAGCAAGAACTGATGCTCAATGAAGATGAGAAGAAACTTCTAGCCAAGGAAGGAGTCAATCTTCCCAGCCAACTGCCTCTAAACAAGGTACGTTGAACACACACATGAATTAGATCAAGGTCACATGGCCACATGTAATAATCTATCCATGTCATACACATGTCATTGCTCCATGTCTCTACATTTACTGCTGGAAGCCAGATCAGACATCAGCAGGGAGGAAAGAGGCTTTTATAGAGGCTGAGATGAAGGAAGTCAGTGATGAAAGGCAAAGGCAGCTCTCATCCTAATAACACATTTCAGCCGCAAAGGTTTTTCCCTCGGTGTATACGATAATGATAATGACATGATTAAGCTGATTTGATTCAACTCACATGCCGCATACTTCAGACCTTCTACAAAAATCTGTATCAAAATAAATGTTTGAAATGTAGACACTTGTGCCATCTCAATTCAAGATGAATTCCTCTTAACATTTTGTCTGGCTTGTTCTCTCATGTTTTTATTAGTACGAAGAAAAGATTCTGAAGAAGATTCGAAGGAAAATCCGGAACAAGCAGTCGGCACAGGAGAGCCGCAAGAAAAAGAAAGAATATATAGATGGACTGGAGAGCAGGTAAACACAAACAGAGAAAGAGACTCACACTTTTATGGGGACTTTCCATAGGCATAATATGATGACATTTATACTGTATATTCTATCCCCTAACTTTCTACATTTTTACATTAAAAAAAACACTCATTTATAAGCTACTTTCCCCATGGGGACCAAAAAGTATTCATTAATGGGAACATTTTGTCCCCATAGGAAATACCTGAACCCCACACACACATACACACGGTTGGGGACATTTAATTTAATATTCAACACTATTATTGATCTGTCTGCATTGGCACCATTATATGAGAACTGATCTGAGCTGGACGATTACATCAAGGTTTTCTCCAGAGCAGCTGTATAGATATATAAATATTTTTTTTACAACAAAAATGAAACATCACTGAACTTACTTAATCTGGACTGTGACGCTATTTTCTTCTAGAAACAAAACTTTGTTGCATTATTTTCCTGTTATCTCTCTAAAGCTGCTGTGAAACAATCTGTATTGTGAAAAGCGCAATATAATTAAATATGACTTGCATGAATGCAGACATAATTTCTCAAATTTTTTAACTTGCGTATGTAGAATGAGAAAGCATAATTGGATACACTACAGGTCAAAAGTTTGGGGTCAATGTTTTTTTTTTTTTATGATTGTTTATATTCAGAAAAGACATGCTAAATTAAAGTGACAGCACAATATTTTACATTGTTACAAAGATTTCTATTTCAAATAGATTAAATGCAGTTATTTTGAGTAAATCAGAATGTTGTCTGAAGGGTCACGTGACACTGAAGACTGATGATAGTAATGATGCTGAAAATTCAGATTTGATCACAAGAATAAATTACATTCGAAAATATATTCAAAAAGAAGTTATTTAAAATTGTAATAATATTTCCCAAACTTTTAAAAGGTAGTGTATATTGTGAACAACTGTACCGGACTTAACCTCAGATGTCCTGTTTGTGGTACAACTACAAGTAGTCTCAATGAATGAATATGACATCAAAGAAAAACTCATTACGAAGTAAACTTGCAGTGGAGTTGAAATTGAGGTTGAAAATCATTAAAAACCCAGGCTCGAACTTATCATAACTTGGGATCAAAGGAATCGAATATCCTCAGAGAGGCTGGAGAAATTATTTAGAACACACTGCGGCACAAACTTCGGGCATGAAATTGGCCTTTAAGGAAGAGCCCGTAGGTTTATCTGTCCAGAGGACAAACTCATTTCATATCAGGTGCTGCAGTCATCAAAAGTTTGTTATTCACAGTCACAAATCAGTCTTGTGAACTTACACATACCGTCTAGACACCTGTTGGATTGTACTGTCCTAAGAAATCAGATCATTTTCTCCTTTTCATATTTTGTCAATAAACATAAAATTATAAGATAAATACACAATTGAAATATATTAGCATTTTCTTAATTGGATTTTAATTGCAAAGAAGATTGGCCTATATAGATATATATATATATTACCACATAATATTGATGTGCACCATGCACACTATGTCGCCTTTGGCTTTTGGCTTGCTTAGTTGTGGACATTTAATATTCAACAATAATATTGATCTGCCTGCATTGACACCATTATATGAGAACTGAACTGAGCTGGATATATATAAAAATGAATAACTTTTTTACAACAAAAATGAACCAGCACTGAACTTACATAAGGTTGACCATGACGCTTAGTTGCATTATTTTCCTGTTATCACTGTAAAGCTGCTTCGAAACACTTTATATTGTAAAAAGCGCTTTATAAATAAAGGTGACTTGACTATGTAGGGAGTGTTTGTGTGTGTATATACACATCCTGCTGTGACAGACAGAGGGTGTGTGTGAGTATTTGTATGTCAGATTCATCACTGTGAGTAATTTGCCCATGTACTCTGGTCTAGGATGGCTGCATGCAGTGCTCAGAATATGCAATTACAGCAGAAAGTCATCCTGCTGGAGAAGACCAACACGTAAGTCTCGTTTTACAACAATATCAGATCCGCTCCTCTCTGACAAGGCTATAAATCAGTGGTTCTCAACTGGTTTCGCTTTATTTTCCCGACATCAAGTGGCCACAGAGTACTGAAATTGCTTACCCTACAAAATTATTTTGGTTCGAGTGCCTGGTCCAAACCCGAGTTCGATTGCTCCCTCTCCCCACTTGATTGTGTTCACATTATATTATTTAGGCCCGAACTACGGTGTGTTTGCATCAAAGCAACGGCTGTTTACCAGTGGTTTTGTTTTCAGAATATAATAGCACTTGCGTCTATCTGGCATGAATGTAATGCAGATGTTTTAAAGGCACACTATGCAAGAATTGTACCTTAATATAACAGCTTCAAAGTAATTTCGGTGGTAAACAAACTCATAGTAGGGCGAATCATCCTGGCGATCACTATCATCCTGGTAGTAAAGCTTGGGGCGGGGGTGCCGCTGGAAAAACCAGCAATGCAAGTTTGAGAGGAGCGCCCCGACAAATCTCGCGAGAATGACGACATGCTTTACGGCAACGACGTCACACACATCAACAACAACATTTGAAGCACGAAGACACTTGCGCGCATTTCAGACGTGATACTCGACGATGGAAAAAGCAAAGAAATCGCGGTCGGAAGAGACTAGGAAAAGGAAAAGATAATCTGACCGCGTGAGGAACCAGACAAGAGTCCCACTCGGTCGGGCTTTCACTCGTTGGCGCGAGCTAAAGCACTGGATGCAACAGTGATGCTGACCTGGCGATCTTGTTGATGGACTAATAAGTAAATCTTTCTAAGTTTGTGTGCATTTTATTTTGTGATTTCACCGGAATGAATAGATAGTCTCTGCAACGGCGATAGATTGAAGAGCGCGCCCGAGTGAAGACTGCGCACGCGCCGCCACAAGAGACACTGTGTATGTATCCATGACACTGATAGCAGCGGACACAAGCGCTCAGGTTGAGTTCAAAAACACATTTTAGCGCTAGATCTCTTATTTAAAGGCACACTATGCAAGATTTGTACCTTAATATAACAGCTTCAAAGGGGAATCAGGCCGCTAGTGCAGAGACCAGTCTATGGCAGACGCTCTGCGTGAGTGGCATTTACGACTGTAGCGTTAAATACAAGTACTCCACAACAGTAATACAACAGCGACTCTAGGGGTCGCTGTTTGACAAAAACGGAATTCCTGCATAGTGTGCCTTTAAAGACTGTGGAAGTCCATTACTGCTGAAGGCGAGATGAAATGACATTAAATTAATGAAATATTCTCTCTGCTTGCAGTGCGTCAGTCACTCTTGTCAGGAAAGTGAGTGAGAGTTTTATCGAATCTTCAATCATATGGCAGCAATAGCAGTTCACTTCAACGATTTAGTACGGTTGTGTTCATATCATCAGCAAACTGGAGTTCACATGAACCGTACCCCGCCATTTTTTATGCAGAATTGGGTATGGTTCACGGGTGCGCACCCGAGTTCGGAAAACAGTGTTCACATCATCCAGACAAACCAAACTCTGACGTCAGTCGAACCCTGGTGCACACCAAAAGTGCTAGTGTGAAAGCACCATAAAATGTCCTTATAAATAAACTAAGGGTGTGTTCACACTTGTAGTCCGGTTCGCTTATAGTTCGTTTGGTCTGGACCCAGTGTGTGCAGGGTGCGATTTGCCGGGGGGGGGGGGGGGGGGGGGGGGGGGGGGTTAGGGGTGCGTGGGATTTCCCCCTTTCTGGTCAAAGTATCCCTGCCTCTGCTTAATTATTTTTATCCCCGGTGGGGAATGTTGTTAATGTTAATTGATAAAAATGTTAGTTCACAGGGCATTATCAAATGCTAACAGATACAACTTTTGATCTTTTAAGTAACACTTTTGATCAAGTGTTACTAAATGTAATTAGATATACAACCTGTGGTGTATGCAACAGATTATTGGAAGCTCTTTCTCTTCCCTTTATAAAATGATTTATTTTTGCTAATTGAACTATGCAAGATTATACAGTAGTTATTTAATCTCGTACTATATGTCAGTACTGTATTTTACTATTTATACTTTTCCTACTTTTTATGCTCTTCTTGTCTCCATGTGAATGAACCACTGAGAAGCACGACATTTTGTTACACAGTTGTTCAATGATAATAAAAAGTATATTCTATTCTATTCTGCTCTTTGCATGTTATTTGCATTTATTTCCCCCCTGCTCTCTTCGATCAGAACGCAGCCCACCAGTTGAGATCCACTGCTGTAAAATATGTAGGTTTTATAACCTGCTCATGCACACAGCTCTTTAACTGTGCTATAAACCTGACCCTCCTGAAACCATGTTCTATTATAAGATCATTTACATAACGTCTCTTCTTTCAGCCTTTTATTGGTTATTTTACAGGCTATTTAAGATGCCATGAAATCAGCTATTCAATTTTAAGGAGAAGTCTAGTGAAAACAGTCATAAAATTGAGCAATAAACCACGAGAGGCTGTGCATTAGAATGATTTTTACCACAGTTGAAAGGTGTTGTTAGGCAAGACGCAAAGACAATTTGTTTGTTATATGCATTCAACACCCCATGTCATACTGAACCAATCAGCACTGTTAGAAAATGTTTAATGCAATTCAGTTTTGATGCTTTTTGCAAGGTTTACGCCATCAGTATTTCACTCAGAGTTCAACATGAAAAATGTTTTCACAATCAGCCCCTTGTCAAATAATCCTATGAATCCTTAATGAACATACATATATTTTACAGAGAGAGAGAGAGAGAGAGAGAGAGAGAGAGATTTTTTGAGATTTAACACACATTTATTAACATCCAACAAACAAAATAAAATAAACAACACTACATTTACATAAAATCACATTTAGGCCTACTCAAAATCTCCAACGAAGTGCAATGTGTCATTTTCAGTCCAACACAACATTCTTTGTACACACCAGACCTCTTCAAAGATTTCCAATTTTCTCATATGAGAATAAAAAATAAAATCATGTTTTATTCTTGCTTTTATAAGCCCCTTAAACAACAATTCAACATTTTTACTACTACCAGCAATTTCATATTTCCTACTAAGATAAACTGCCATTTTAGCTTGACCTAGGATAAAGTTTAACAACCGTCCTTTCTTCATTTTTCCTTTACAAAAATTAAAACCAAAAATAAACACGATCCTTGTAAATATTTCATCCACATTTGTAAAAAAAACCTCCAATAAACAAAATAAAGGTCTTAGTCTCTCACAGTGCATAAAACAATGAAATATGGTTTCTCTTTCACCACAAAAGGGACAATTATCTTGCACATTCGGATTCAACAATGAAATAAAAGCATTTATCGCAACAATTCCATGTAAAATTCTCCATTGAAGATCACCCACATTTTTTGTCAATGGTGGTTTGTAACAAGAGCCCCAACATGGTTTGACATCAAAATCAACACTTAAATGATCTCTCCATGGTGTATCTGCCCGTTTTAATTTCTCTTTATTTATCACCTTCACACAAACTGCATATAAACTCTTTCCACCCATTGTATCAAACATTATCTCTCTCGAATTCTCTGGGGTCATTAAAACATTTTCATTTTCTGTTACACTTTTAAATATCACCATACTGGGAAAATGATCCGTTTCATCAGGAAGAGCTTGACTTGACAAAAAGTTCCAGTCTTCTTCACTCAAATTTTCTCTGCACTTATTTAATAAAAAATAGACTGTCCTTGTTGATTTAATTCCAAGTCTCTGTGCGAGTGCATCAGCATTGTCCAACGCAATACCAGCAACTTCTATCAAGTCTTTCATTTTGACAACTTTGGCTTTTGTTAAAACTTGCATCAACCACAAAGTTGAATTTCCACATAAGTTGAATCGAGCACCATTAATCAATGGCTCCTCCAAAAACCAAAACAGTGACTGATATGACAATGTTCTTTTGGCCTGTACCATACACCATGCTTTTCTTAAACTTTCATAGAAGGTAGAGATGGACTTCAGATTAAAACTCCTACAATCTGTCCAGAAGATATTTCTTCTAAAACCCCACCCACCAACCTTACTCAAAAGGCAACAGGCTGGTCCAAACCACGAAATACTGGGACTGTATAAAAACTTTTGGACAAACTGTAGCCTGAACGCTACTTTCCTGCTTACAAGGTCAACAACCCCTTGTCCCCCTTCTTCCTTTGGAAGGTACAGAACACTCCTCGGTAACCAATGTAGTTTATCCCAAAAGAAGTTGATCATCTTGGCCTGTATTTTTCCAAGAACCCCTTCAGGAGGCTCTAAAACTGTTAACCTGTGCCATAATGAGGAGGCTACTAAATTATTAATAATCAATGCTCTCCCCTTAAAGGACATTTTAGGTAAAAGCCATTTCCACCTTTCAAGTTTTCCTCCTACATTCTCAAGAATATTTTCCCAGTTTTTTTGCATTATTATTTCATCACCCAAAAAAATTCCAAGATATTTCAAACCTCTTTGTGACCAAACCAATTCACCTGGTAATACCAGTTCTCCTTCATTCCATTTCCCAACTCTATATGCTGAACTTTTGGTCCAATTAACTTTTGCAGATGAGATTTTTGCATAAATGTTAACAATATCAACCAGCTTATCAACATCATTCTGTCCACTGGTTAAAACTAAAACATCATCTGCATATGCTGATAACTTTATAGGTGGAAATGTACTCTCATATGTAAACCCATCTAATTGAGTCCTAATTTTTTTTAACATGGGTTCTATTGCTATGGTGTAAAGCATACCTGACAAGGCACATCCTTGTCTAATCCCCCTTTGTATTTTAAAAGGGCAACTCAAACCACCATTTATTTTCAATACACTTTCAATATTTTCATAGAGCACTTTAATCAAGGCAGTAAAGGCAGGTGGAAAACCAAAAGTTTCAAACGTGTGCCATAAAAACTGATGATCCACCCGATCAAAAGCCTTTTCTTGATCTAGGGAAATTAGGCCACATTTTTTCCCAAACAGTCTAGA